GCTGCCCTCCTAAGGCTCAATGCGTGGTTGGTGGGGGCTCTGACCAGGCCAACACAGGGCATGGGGCCATCAGACGAGATCCTCCAGTGAGCTGAGGAGCGGGGCTGGGGCCTCCTTCCAGCTCTGCTTGGCCAGAGTGAGTTCCCAGCCTACTAAGAGACCGGAAACATGGAGCTCTAAGGAAATGATGAAATCTCGTCCTCAGAGAAGACTACCTTCCACAAAGCCCGTCACCCTGCAGGTACAAGGGGTTATTCACTCATTCGTGAACGCACTTCTGGAGCACCTCCTTCTGTTCTGAGCTCTCCAATGAAGGCTGCTATGGCTCTGGCTGCAAGGGGTTCATACCTGCTTCCCCCTAGGACTTTCCCCGTGTTGATGACATCCCCCAGCTAGGCAGACAGCCTGGCACCCAGTAGGAGCACATTCAAGGTCTGCGGTCAGTCAGTGGACTTGTGGTGAGACAAAAGATTATAAAGCACATCATTATTAAGATAAATTATTCTCGGGGAATTTTTCTCATCATTCACTTATGCAATCAACACTGACACACACACTGTGTACTGGCCCTGGCTTGGGGCACAGGCAGGAGACACCCTGGCTCTGCCTTCAGGAGATCACAGTAGAAGAGGCCAAAGACTACAGTTTACTGGAACCTGTGTCCCCGGGAGATGCCTGTGGCTTGAAGGGTGCAGAGACCATTCACCTTGGCCATCACATGCTCAGTTTTGGCCATATGCCCTTGATACGGCTACCACACAGAATAAAGACTCTTTGGCCTGGCCTCCTAGGCCTGCAGAGCCCAGCCCCGGAGACCTCATTGGCTGAGCAGAGATTGTGCCAAGCTTTCATTCAACTGTCTTCTCAGTCTTTTCTCTCATGGGTCCTTCTGCCTGGAATGTCTGTTCTTTCCCTACTCCCTTTTGGCATGTCAGAGTCCTGCATCTCCTTTGAGGAAGGCTTAGCTCAAGGTGTTATAACTATAGCTAACATTTAGTTAGCCCTTTCCTATGTGCCAGCCCCTGCTCTTTGCTCTTTACACCTGTCTTCTTAAACACTCCCCATCCAAGGACTGCTCCCTTGTCTGTGCCCACCGACCAGCCTGCTGGAAGGGCTTGTGTTCTTTCTAATCCTCCAGGTCCTTCTGTGGCCTGGAGTCTGAGAATGTGGTCTGACTCACAGCTCTCAGGGGTGGCTTCACCACTGAACCTCCTTGTGTCTTGATGCTGCATCTGTTAAAGGGGCTAACAGCACCACAGTGTCATGGGTGAAATTAAATGATAGCTTGCAGACTGTAGAACATGGTGCTGGACACACGATATACGCTCAAGAAAACAGCAGTTAAGTCAGCACGTTTGCAACACTTCTACGATGAAAACACCACTCCTCCCCAACAGTACTTCATTCAATGAATGTTTTGAGTGCCTACTATGTGCCAGGCACTGGCTAATTACACACTGCAGCTTCTGTTATACAAATGCCTGCAACTTCAGCCTCTTTTTGTAAAAAGTCAGAGCCTCATGCTCACTTATCCTGAATGCTGTGTGTAGGGGACAGCCCTGGATCCCATCTGGGGCTGTAGCTGAGCCAGGTTCGGCCTTCTGAAGGTTAACCCAAGAGCCCTTATAATCTCAAGGGACAGAAAACCAGCCAGGGAGCAGAGCGGCAGGGTTCTACTGCCCCCTGGTGTTAGCGTGCGCTCATGGGGAGTACCCCCTTGCCCCACCATGGGCTGGGGAGTGAGAGAGGGCAGTAAGGTCAGAATTCTCCCACACAGAGGTGCGCCATATGCAAATCCAGGCCTTCTTTTGTGAGGTGTGCCCTCAGATGTCCTGCCCGGAGTCCACTGTCTGTCCAATTCCTGGCTGCCTTCCTGGGCCCCCTGGGATGGCCCCAGACCTCACACCAGTCCTCTACCCTAATGGGAGCAGAGATGGAGGAAGAATCTGATTGGGCTGAACTGAGCTAGGCTGTGCAAATCTGCACCTGCCCTGGACACCTACTGCCGGATTGCTGCCACACCAGTCTCTGCCACCATATTCCTCTTCCTGGAAACTAGCCTCAACTGGACCATCTTTGGCCAGACTTATTCTCATCCATAATATCTCAACAGCCTCCCACTGCTCTCCCAGCCTCCACTCTCCTCCTGCTGGCTCAGCCTGGCCACTGCAGGTAAATCAAGGGCTTCTCTGCCCCAGAAATAAAACCGTCTTCTCTAGAATCCCCTCCCATCCAGACTCCATCCCCTCTGACAACCCACAATACTCAGGCAAAAGACCCTAAAAGACCCATCTCCCATCACAGTTCTTCCTGCACATCTTTGCTGACCTGACTTTCTCTACCTGGGGTTTGGCCTACCTGCCTCTGACAAACACCCCTGTATGCTGCAGAAGCCCACTCAGACGTCACCGATGATCGGGTATATGGTTGTGCAGACTGGATCCTGTAGAAGGACACAGGGTTGCGTCAGCCTAGAAGTTCATCCATCAAGAGGGGAGCCTCTTTCTATTGTGTACAAGGGTGCCATTTGGCAGGCAGAAGTGCCAATCCATTGTTCTCAAAGTCCTCTGAGTGCTCACAGCGCTGAGACCATGTTTTCCTAGGCCAGGGCATCTGACTCACCACACCGGGGCCTATTTTGTTTCCTTGTTTATTACTCAACACACAGGTGGGATCTGGGTTGGCCTCAGTATAGCCGTTGCTCTCCCAAGGCTCAGAGCACATGGTTGCTTCCCCCAGACAGGCAGTATCTCCTCCAGGTGGCTCTCCCAGTGTCTCTGTAGGGCCAGACTGGGTGGTAAATGGCACATAACTCTACAAAGAGTACTATCACTTCAGGGGGCCCTCTCCTAGCCCCAGCTGAGCCAGAGGATTCTGGCAGCTCTCATGGGATCAGAACGTGTTGTCAGTGTTAGCCCAGGTGTCCTCCCTGCCCTCAAAGAAAGGCTGGGTCCAGGCAGAGTCCCAAGGAAGGTAGACATGATCTGGGAATGCCATGACATGTGGCTGGAGTAGGCACCACACAGCAGCCTCAGTGTTTCACCCTTACACCAACTGTGGCATCTTTTGAGAAATTTCCTGTATGCATTGAGAAATCTGGCCTCTAGGGAAGCAGCTGCTCCCCTGTACCAAGAGCCTCCCTACTTGACCATTCCGAGGCCCCTCAAAAGCCCTTCAGTGAGGCGGTTTCCCCACTCTAGGGGGCACCTGATCGCTTTGCGAAACATTCTGCACCAAAGCAGGACTGAAGGCCAGTTTGAGTTAGGGTTGGCTGAATCCCACTTTCAGATGAGCATCTTGCACCGAAAGGATTTTTTTTCTGAGGCTGCTGATGACTCCTGCAGTTCTCAGGCACCTCCCTGTAGCCACAGAAGACCAAGGCTCCAGAGAGCTACCCTTGGACCTATGGCCAGGGGTTGGTGGTTGTTGTTGGTGGTGGTGGTGATGGGGTCCCCTAAGGGTAGGGCGACGGGGTCCTCGCATAGGGAAAGGGCTCTGAGAGCATCATCCGTGCAGTAAGTAGGGGCTGTTACTATCATCGTTATTTTGATACGTCTGGCCCTCTGTTCCTAACCCTAGCTCTAGCTCCAACCCTGTCTGCTGGATGCATACATCAGACCCAGAGGGCCCTGTCCAGCTTGTCCTCAGACCCGGCAGACAGAAGGAGCTTAGGGAGCTGAGGGGATTAGGGAGGCCTCACTCTCTCCCCAGCTCAGGGGAGCTGCCCCTGTGGCCTGACACAGGGCAATGATGGAAGGGGACGCCCACCAACCCTCGAGTTCAAGCCTGATGCCACGAAGCACTTAGCAATGATGGATCAATTAAAACTTCAGATCAAACCCTAATCTTTCAGATATTATCCGTGTGACATTGGCAAGTCAATTAACCTCAATTCTGAACCTCAGTTAAGAAAAAAGAAAAACAAAAAAACCAGCACCACCGACCTCCTAGGATTTGCCGTGAATATTAAATAACAGGCAAAGTTTCAGTTAAGAATTTCAAAAGGGTCGACTTCCTCCCCTTCTGCTCAGAAAGAACCTTACTACTTCCTCTGATACTGCTGTTTGAATGTGAAATAACAATAAAACTAACATTTCATAAAGCATTTGCTCTGGGCTAGGTCAGTTTAAAGCCAGTTTAAGGTTCAAGCACTGCACATACATCATCAGGCTGAATTTGTACAAGGGGGTAGGTGGAGACCCGTTAGTGGTATCATAACCTAGAGGAAATCAAAGCTCAAAGGGCATTGACTGATGCAGGCAGGAAAACTGGTGGATGAATGGATCCTGGGTGAGAGCCCAGGTTCTGTGTGGGGGAGGAAGGGTGTTGGGCAGGGACTTAGGGGGTCCTCAAAGTTTCTTGAGAGGATGCAGAGCTAAGAAGCTGACTCCTGTGAGGGGGAGTGGCTGGGGGCTGGCACAGTGGGGACACAAGCCCTGTGCATAGCTGAGGAGCCAGGTGAACCTTGCTTTACAGAGGGTCAAAGGTGGGCAGGGAGGGGTCGTGAGGAGACCCTCTCAACCAGGATTGGGATGCCCCAGGTCATTCTGGGTCATGTCCTTGACCTGCTGTGGGACCTCAGGGCCCAACACCCTCTATTTCTGGACCCTGGAGATGAACAAGGATAAACTGTCTGTCCCTGCACTTGGTCTTGGGGGACGACTGGGCTCAGGCCTAGTCTGCTCAGCGGATGGTCCTCGCCATATTGGGGGTGGGGGTGGGGGGAGGCCACGAGAACTGGAAGGAAGTTGTGGGGTCGCAAAGACGAGGTGGTTGTGGGGTCGCAGTGAGCAAGGTCCCTCATTTTTATTGACACAGCTGCTTCCCAAACGCGGCCCGGAGCCCGCCAGAATTTGGAAGGGGGAAACCTGGGCGATCCAGCGGGGTCCTGAAAGGATGGCTCAGAAGCCGGGACTGGGGGCTCAGCCAACCCAGGACCAAGATCCCACAGTGTGCTGGGGATGGGGGTCACGGACGAGGACGGGGATGGGGGGACTCACCCGAGAACAGCCAGAGGGAGCCCCCCGACACGAGGAAGAAGGTCAGCATGTCGGTCAGCGGGACCCAGCCTGGCCCCGCACGGCCTCCCCGGCCCGCAGCCCCGCAGCCCCAGCAGTAGCCGCGCCGCCGCCGCCGCCGCCGCCGCCGCCGCCGGGTATTTTCAGCCCCCGCCCCTCGGCTCCGCAGCGCCCCGCCTTCCCGCGCGGCTGCGGCGTCTGGGCGGGAGGGGGAGGGCCGGGAGCGCGCTCTGCACTGGCGCTCGCAGCCAGGTCCGCCGCGGGCCGGGTCCGGGCGCCCCGCGCGCTTACCCCCGCGTCGGAACCTCCGAGGCCCCGGGCGCGGGAGGGGCCAGGCTGCAGAGCCGACGGGCCCTCCCCACCCCAGCCCAACGTCAGGACTCGGCGTTCTGGGGAAACGGGCAGGAGAGGGGCGCGCTGGCGACGCGCGCGGGGTGGTGACGCCACGCACCTCGCCAATGCGCGACTCTTGCCCCTACCCGCGCGATCCTGGCTTTTAAGGCAGGGCAGACTCTGGGTGGCAGAGAGGGTGCGGTCGCCTGTCCTGGTAGGGGCACGTGCTGCTGCGCCGATTCCCGCTGACGCTAACGCCCCCTGGGACCTCAGTTTGCAGACACTGGGAGCCTCTGGGCGTCAAGCCCTCTTAACGAAAGAAGAGAAACGCGATGAGGGTCTAAGTAGGATCCGGAAAAGTGGCTGTAAGGAGGGAGAGTACCCATATTCGCTGAGAGCCCCAGATCGCACATCTCTCCTTCTGGGAAGATTGAATCTGAGGCCACCCAAGGTCACAGGAGGCTCCATGTGGTCACAGGCTGCCACACGGGGTCACATGAGGTCACAGAAAGCCACATGGAATCACAGGTGTTTCACCAAAACACGGGTAATCCTGGTCTTCACACACAATCATATGTGGCACATGAGGCCTCTCAAGAGGCCCTTCACAGCTACAAAGAATGGCCACACAGGCACCCAAAGACGGGGATGGCTCCACTGCTAGCTGATCAGTTGTGTTACCAAACCGAACTCACCCAGCCTGAGGCACCACAAACCTAATCTACTGACACCAGGTTTTGGTGAGGGAAAATACAGTGTTTATCGCAGTGTTCCAAGAAAGGGAATGGAAGATAAGCCCCAGATCTACTTCAAGTTCGTCTCTGAGTTAGGGTTTTTTTCTTAAGGGATATGAACAAACAGGCTGAAATTGATCTTCTTGTGACATTTCTGTGACATTTCTTCATCGCAGTTTGGAAACAGGAGAGAAGGGGCCAGGGCACAGCCTTTGAAAGAATGGCATTTCCTGAGGACAACATGGGGCTTCCCAGGTGGTGCTAGTGGTAAAGAACCCACCTGTCAATGCAGGAGACTAAGAGACATGGGTTCAATCCTGGGGTTGGGAAGATCCCCTGAGAAGGGCATGGCAACCCACTCCAGTATGCTTGCCTGAAGAATCCCATGGACAGAGGGGCCTGGTGGACTACCATCCATAGGGTCTCAAAGAGTCAGACATGACTGAAGCGAATTAGCATGCATGCAGGAGGATAACATAAACTATTAGAACCAAATGGGTCCAAGATGGTAGACCAGTCAATTTCCACCAGACCTTAATCCTCAGTATACACTGGTCGTAACAAATCAGCAGCTAAGTGACACACCCATAGGTGCCAGGACAGTTCCAAGACTCACCATCAGAGACCCAAAAGAAGCCGGTGGCCCAATTCCTGGAAACCTCCACCCTTTCCCCAAAATAACTGGAATAATCCTGCCTATTAAATTACCCAGGCCATAAAAACTAACCAGGCCATATTTCAAGGCCTTCCTGCCTGAAATGGCCCACCTTCTTTCTGTGGCGTGTTCTTCTCTCTAAATAAATCCATTTCTTACCTATCACTTTTGTGACCCACTGAATTCTTTATGTGATGAGATATCAAGAACTTGAGCTTCATTAAGTCCTGAAACCAGGTGTGTGATTCAGTTTCAAGAGTTAGGATGTCCCTGGTTTATGATACTCTGGCCAGGTGGTCCATGGCTTGCAGTCTGTTAGCTCATCTTGCTCAGGAGAAACAACCTGAGTTTTTTGTTCTTTCTTTTTTTTTTTTACAGAAAAATATGGAACGCTTCACAAATTTGCGTGTCATCGCAGGGGCCATGCTAATCTTCTCTGTATCGTTCCAATTTTAGTATATGTGCTGCCGAAGCAAGCACTGAGTTTGTGTATTAATGATGATCTCTCTAATAGCTTTTAGTACATTAATGGTATCAACAACAGCAATTTTAGTCATCTGACTCTGGTTGATTACTGTTTAGTTAGCACGGCATTGGTGTCAGAGGGGACAAGAAAGGAGACAAAGTTTTGGATAGAGAGATTAATCATAAACTCGGTAATAAAATTCGATTTTAGGGGGACACAGCTTCAATCCTCACTCCTGTTTTAACTTTCTGCCAAATCTTTGAGGGAAGAGAGTGATGACCATTCTGGTTATTTCCTGCTGATATGGGGACATAGTCCCGACTCAATTGGAAATGGAAACATTGCATACCAAGTAGGAAATATTTCTGAGATCCAGGTCTTGCACCTTTGGTGCAACAGCTTACAGTACATTTTATAATCAGGTACCCAGTTAGAAGCAGGAAGAGGAGTGATAACCCAAACTTAAATGCACCTTGGTAAACAGATCTCACTCACTGAGGAATTCAGAATAAGCCTGAAAACCAGCCTGAACCTGGTGCTACTGGGGAGACTTGTCACCAGGTAATGAATTTCCTAATTTTATCTAAGTAGGTCTTAACTTCTGATGTGGTATTAACATATACATAACAGATTCTATTAGCTACTACACTTACGTTTCCTTTTTCTGCTAAAATCTAATCTAAAGCAATTTTATTGTCTAGTATTAATCTGGCTAAAGAATCTAATGCCTTCTGCTGGGAGGCTATGGCTTGAGTTGTTTCATCTGTCACTAATATTCCTAAAGTAAGAGGAAGATTTCATAAGGTTGAGTTGGCAGCTGCTAGGAGATACTGTTTTGAGAACAGCTGATGGTGTCCTTGAGTCTGATATGGTTAGTTCAGAAAATTCAAATTCTCAGTAATATAGGAACCAATCTGAAACCAGGTCTACAAATGGCCATCCAGCTCTGTTTTGAATGCTTGAACCACAGTTACTCTATTTTCACTTCTAAATGTATTTTTTCCTTAATGGTTAAAGCAGGTGTACAATGTATGTTCAATAAGCCACAGAATATACTATCCCAATTTAATTTAAATGATGTGTAAGCCAGAATGACATCCCCAGACCTCAATATGTGAGCAAATTTTTGGTCATTTACCCTTCTGTTTGCAAATCTTTCAACAGATCAAAATAGTTGACCCTATTAGTGGTCCCTAATAGATGCCAGGATGATTACTGCCTCCCTGAATCCATCATGTCCCTTAATGCTAGACCTTCTTGTTTACATACATATCTACATAGATATCTATATCTGCTTATCTATCTATCTATCTACTTAGAGAGAGGGATCTTCCTAGTTTTCTACATTGGAGGAAAACTAATCCAACACAGCGAACAAGTTCAGAGGTCTGATTATGGGGAAACATTTTATAGGATATGCATTTTATCCATTATACTAAGTTGCCACACCATCATTGTACATGTATTTTTAGCGGTAGACTTACAGCAAGCAGTGATACATGTCATGAGTAGTTATACTCTGATAATTTCACTAGAGAATTTTCCTTCTATCCTGAACATCGGGGACAACAGTATGGTTAGAAGTAAAACAATAACTTTCAATTTTGACAGTAATCAAACATTTGGTTAACAGTTCAACTGAATTAGTAGGATGGGTCTTACAGATCTGGTCTAGATTCTTGGCTCAGCAGACTACCACTGTTTTCATCGTTTTCTTGTCTGGATGTGGGTGTCATTTGCAGTTAGTAGTCCTTCCCATAGAATTGTCCAGTGAAGAAACTCTTCTTAAATGGGAAATATTAATTCAAGAGTCAATTCCCTTCAGTTTTGCTGTGCATGAGCTAGTTAGGAGTCCCTAATAAGGATCTTTTCATCTAGCTTGGAGACAGTCCTTTGACTGATGCCTTTTCCAGTAGGCATAATTTCCTGGTTGCAGGTCATGGGGCATTTTCTCTTCACCCAAAGACAGACTGCTGTGATAAGGTTCAGAAACAAATTTAGAGTGTTCTTTTAATAATTCAATAAAATTTACAATAATGTAACATAAGAACAAAGAATTATCTGGGAAATGACTCTTAGGCAGTAAATACAGACCTCAATTGGTGACTCAGCCAGTAAAGAGTCTGCCTACAGTGTGGGAGACCCAGGTTTGACCCAGGGGAAGATCCCCTGGAGAAGGAAACAGCAACCCACTCCAGTATTCTTACCTGGATAATTCCATGGACAAAGGAGCCTGGCGGGCTTACAGTCTGTGGGGTTGCAAGGAGTCAGACACTACTGAACAACTAACACTTTCACTTTTCACTTTCACAGACCTCAACAGAACCAGAATTTAATATCCATTGAAACATAATCTTTTTCTCTCTAAAATTACCCTCATGTCTACCAAATGTAGCCAAATGAAAACTAATTTGTTTGCAAAATGCATCTGGTTTTAATACACTTGGCCTGATTATTTATATAAGGATAATTGACCATATGCTTACCTAGTAGCACAGTTGTAAAGAGTGTGCTTTCCAATGCAGGAGACATGGCTTCGATCCCTGAGTTGGGAAGATTCCCTGGAGAAGGAAATGACAACCGACTCCAGTACTCTTGCCTGTGAAATCCCATGGACAGAGGAGCCTGGCCAGCTACAGTCCGTGGGGTTGCAAAAGAGCTGAACATGGTTTAGCAACCAAGACAACAACAATTGATCATATAGACTGTTTTAAATTGGCTGTCCTGGAACTTTTCATAAGGAATCTTGGATTGAACTTTTTAAAAGGATTCTCAAGGCCAGGAAAGTCATGCCAAGGGCTTGTCACAGATTCTGCTTATGATATCTATAGTTTTGAGTGAAT